GATAGGTTCACGATTCGGAAGATTACACACAGGTGTATTCTTTACTTAGGATCTGAGATTCGCGAGACAATTCCAAGGTAACTCGAGCCTGTTAGTGTACATTTACTTTTTTAAATCAAGTCGCCTTCGAACGAATGCGAATCTCGATGATCCACGACGACGACGACGACGACGATCATATGGCTTTCGTATGTACGTATCTGAATCGAAATTCCGGCTATTGTTAGGTATTTCTTCGCTTTTTTCGAAGCAGTTCGGGATCGATTCGTATTGTTGGAGGAGTTCGTCGGTCCGTGAAAACGAATATAACCGTGATCTCGAGTGGGGATCGCCGTAGCCTGATCCTTGAATAATCTCTCTTGTTCTTCGACCGCACGCTTCTCGCCCTAAATGGCCAAACCATTTGTAGTTTCGTCTGTGAAAGTACCCTGGTCGGATTATCCGTCAACGGACGCGCAACAGTTCCGATTGATTTAGTATAACCGTTTGTCGGTGTAAAGTGGAATATCCCTTTCCTCTGTGACACTCTCGCGAATCTTTCCAATTAGGGGAACAGAGTTTCTCTAGGCCTTTGTCGCCTCTACACTCGTTCACGTTCGGTTATACCTTTACTTTTCTTCGTTCGATCTTCTCTCTGTCGAACGTCACGGTTCGCCTTTTTTCATTGATTCTCGATGATTTCGTAGGATAGAGAGACAAAAGTAACGATAAAAGCGACTTTCGCTAGGCTTGAATCTATATTACCTTCGAAACGAAGCTACAATCACGATGAAAATAGTAAGAGTATGTATACATTATGTATGTACAATTGTATTCGTGGTTCCTCTGGTAGCGTCTTCGTCGAATTTCCGTCGGTCACGAGTCCCAGAGGCAGTGAAACATTTTAGTCAATATATATACGAATGCTCAGTATTTAATAACGATATTCCATTTAATAACTCGACTCGTGGCGTGACTCGAGATTCGAGCACGTGGACGCTGAGACGTGTCAACGTCATCGGGAAAATCGGATTTCCTTTGCGAGCTGTATGAGTCTTCGAGTTTCTGAGCAACGTTACGTTGTAGTGCTGTGCTTCGTTCGTTTCGGTTTCCTTCACTTCGACTCGTTTACAGCTAAGCTCACGTTGGGACAACGTGGCACGAAAATTGTCGACTGACAATTCTTGAAGCTTTGCTCTCTCTGTGAAACTTTCATTTTCATCAAATTTCAGAGCTGTGCTTTTGAAAATTGTCAATTTCTAATTTCATTTCGTTTTAAATTTCTAACTTTATTTCGTTTTAATTTTTAAAATTGCAAATTTTTCATCCGAAAGATCGCTGTCTAAAAATTTATATTTGCTTGTAACGGTTCATGAGTGAAAATTTGCTAACGTTGCCTCATACTTTCGATTATGTCACGTAAAGGTTAACGAGCGAGAATTTTCCAAGGTTCTTTGCCATAATTTCTTACGGCAGCGTTGTTCCAACGTAATTTCTCAATTCGTAATGCTCGATCAAGTTAGCAATTGTCTACTTTCGAATAGCCACGTGCCAAGCCCAAGTTTCAGCAACTTGGAACAATTCACTCGGTTGAAAGCGATACACCGAGTAACCGTACATTTAGACGCAGAAATTAATCGTAAATTCTCCAACGTTTAATACGAGCACGAAGAACGTTACAGAACTTAAAGCTTAGCTCCGTTAAAAACAGATGTATAATTTTTCCTCTCGTTAAAAGAAGAATACGTAGAAACCGGTGGAAAAGAAAAACTGGCAGCAAACGATAAAAAAAAGAAAAAACAAATATCGTCGACTGTGTTTTAAACAAACAGAAGCGAAAAAGATTACTCGACAATTCAGAGAAAAAATTACGAAAAGGCTTGTCATCACGGGTAAAAAAAGGAAAGAAATATCGGAATCTCGTTAACGGATAGTCTTGCAGGCGGGTTTATGTTGAAAAAAGAAAAACAGAAAAAATAATCGAAGGAAAACGAAGGAAAGAAAACAGGGATAAAGCTATTAGCAAGTTTTGGCCATTGGCATTGACGCGACAACCAATCACGTTATCTTTTACATACTACTAATAATGGTTACGAAATAATAATTAAAGAAAAAAAAAAACACGTTGTTAATGATGTTAAAGGAATGATTAAAGGAAAAAAAAATAAATACGTAGCGATAAACTATAATCGATAACGCCTCGATTGGTGGAATAACCATTCTCAATCTTTAAAAATAAATCAGCTAATTAAACTAATGAATTAAATTAAAGCCTCTTAAATATGGTTCGCGCCGGAAGGTTTCGGTAGAATACAGTATTACGTAGGAAAGAAAAAAAGAAAAAAGTTAAAAAAACACGGTTATCTCAAGCAAGTGTTAGAGGAGCAAAAGAATCGCGGAAAAGATATTAACGATGCAAGTTCGGCGTGCAACAACGCCGAACGAAGTTGCAAAGAATACAACGATATTCGTAAAAGAAAACTATGCGTTTAAAAAAAAAAAAAGAAAAACCGCAGTTCTAACGATTTCGTTTCGCGATAGAATTTTTTCAAACGCGTTTCCTTTCGAGGAGCGTTAACAATGTAATAAATTATCGCATGATAATTTAAACGCGAAGCGAACATCCCCGCTGCGGTAACTTCTTCTTCTTTTCTTTTCCGCAACCACGTTTGCTGTAGTTCAAGTTGGTGGAAAGAGTCGCACGAGCGACGATTTATTGTTACAAACGCGACCAATTTGAGCCTTTCGGTGGCCAATTTGACTAAGAGAATCGAAATTATAGTAGCTTGAACGAAATTTAAACTGCAATATGAAATTATGCTATGTCAATTTTAACCCTTTCACTGCTCTTGCCGGCTATAGGCGTTTTAAATATTTTCTCGCGCCGTGTCCTTGCCGGCTATAGG